ACAGAAGGGTCTCTACTCTTCATATTCAAGAATTAGAAAAAAAAATCCACCCCACGCTTGACCCCCACCCCCTCCCCCACCTCCCAATCCCGCTCTCCTTGTGAAATTTAGTCTTGGGGTCCCAAAATTTGGCTACTCTTTTTTTGGGTCATAAATATCTTCCCGCCTAAAGCAAAAACCAATCGACACCCATGTACACCACCTGCTTCCATTTCTTTCAATGGTAACACCTTTTAAACCTCAATTACTTGTATGATTTTTATGTTTTTTTTAAAAAAAGAACATTTTTATAGGTTTTGGACTTTACAAAATGGCAGGGTGGTCGAAGAGAGTTGATGGGTCAGGTCTAGAAAGTTACAGGGAACCTGAAATTGTTACAATACTTGATAAGCAGCTTCTTGTTAATACTGAAGATTTTAAGACTAAACTGTTAAAAGAGGTTAATGGGTGTTTGTGTTTTAGGCCATTTCCTCCAATGCTTGGTGATGGGAAGACAGTTGATTTGTGGAAGCTGTACTTAGTTGTGAGGGAGAAAGGTGGGTACGATAGGGTTTGTAATAGTCGGTCTTGGGGTGTTGTAGCTAAAGAGTGTGGTTTTGATTCGACTTCCGGTTTGGCTTTGAAGTTGGTATATGTTAAGTATTTAGCTGCATTGGACAGAGCAATGCTGAGTCTTGAGCAACCTGATAATAATGAAAAGAGTGAGGTTAGGAAGAGTGGTGCCTCGGGTTTTAGTGGCGTTCGGATGGACCTTGAGCTGGATTTGAAGGAGGTTTTGATGAAAATTTCTGATGAAAAGAAGAAAGATAAGGTGTATGCAAATATTGACTTGAGCAATGGTGTTGAGGTTCAGGATTTTGTTGGTTTGGTTAGATGTTCTGAGAATTTCGTTGGAAAGCAAAGTTTGGACCACAATGATTGTGATGTAAAGGGCATGGATGAAAGAATGAGTGTTGTCTATGATGAAGAAGACTCGAAGTTTGTGAAAAGAAATGGAGACATTCAACGTGATACAGATGACATCGGGCTAACAAAGTCTAGTGAGGATGAGGAAGATGGCATTACTAGGAAGAGGAAGTATAGTGATGAAAAGATGAGCGTCTATTATGATGATGAACAATTGAATTTTGTGAATGAAAACGGAGATGTTCAGTGTGGCGGAGATGATATTGGGCTGAGAAAGTCTAGTGGGGATGAGGAAGATGGCAGTACTAGGAAGAGGAAGCGAGAGTCTAACTTGGGCATGCTCAAGTGGGTTACTGAACTTGCAAAGGATCCTTGTGATCCTGCCATTGGACATCTGCCGGAAAGATCTAAGTGGAAGTCTTATGGGAATGACGTTGTTTGGAAGAAGGTTCTTTTGTTAAGAAAGGAAATGGTTTTGGAAAGGAATGTGGATACAAGTACTCAGTACTCCATATGGCAGGTACTTCATTTCTCCTGTATATTGAAATTCCAACTTGCTTATGAAGTAAACTTTTTTGCTATCAACAGTTTTTTTATTTTTTATTTACTAGATAAACCTATTTCATTTCTGTAGCTCCGGTGGAATGTCAACTGCATTTTTATTAGTTAATGGCTTAATGTTGTAGTCTACAGGGGGCATATCTGCTTGATCTGCATGCACCATATAACTTATTTTCATCCATACTGTAGCATTTTGCTCAGTATTTCTGCTAAATTATCAGAAGACGTTTTCAAATGCTTTCTTTTGGGGTATGCAGTGGTTCAAGAACATTGTTAGGTCTGAGTAAGGATTTCTAGATTTTCAAGGAAGATGGATATAGAAGGGTAGAGGACAGCGATAAACCCATGACTCTTAAATTCATCTTTAACTGGTGATGCAAGGACTACTTTAGCTTGTTCTAGACAAATTTAACTTTACAGGTGCAATGCATTATTTTATCAGATATTATTTTAGAGGTCTAATAATAGCTTGGAGACAGAAGGTACTATTTACACAAATTAAGGTTCATATGAACTCCTTTTATGAATATTCCCCTTTGACTTTCATAGTCAATTTGGCCTTTCATAAATGCTGTTATGAGAAATTGTGGTTTCATATGATTAAATGGCAAAATAGCAAAGTATGACTTACTATTCTGTCTTTACCAAGTCACTTGTACATGTCTGATAAGAAGAGTTGAAGGTGTAAACTGTTCAGTATTTGTTGAGAAACATGTGTAATATTTTCACTTTTGTGTTGTAGAATAGTAGAATAGATGATAAAGTTTTGTTAAGAAGAGAAAACTGGGATGGTGAACTTTTTGTGTTATTTAAAATGTAGTGATACTTCTCATTGTAAATGGACAAAGTTGTGATACAGCTCAAAAAGGAAAGTATGACAAGTATTTCAGTACAGGAGTATATTATAGATTAATGGATGATTTATAATTTCCAAATGCGCATGTATTTATGTTTGTGTCTGCTCAATTACTAATAGGGGAAAATAGTAAATGTTTTAGGATGAGGATTGTGTATTTCTATGGTGGAAAAGACTATTTGAAGCATTTGAAAAACTCACGTTTAGTTTGTATCCAATTTGTCATGTTGAGATTATGAGGAATAAGAAATTTTGAAAGTTTTTGAAATTAATTTTATAAGTTTATTTGTTCTTATGTCCCGTTCACCTTTCCTTTTTCTGGGAGGCGTTGGGAAGAGGGAGATAGATGTTGATAATTCTTGATCTTCTGTTCTCTTCAGTAATGGCATTGACTTTTTGCTTATGTTTGCTGCTTTAAGTGTAAGATTTAGTAATATCAAGGAGAGATTTCTTGGAATATTCTACAACTTGAACAGATTCAAGAAATTTTAAATACTTGGATGCTGACTTGAAAAGTTATAATAATCCTGGTGGCTGCAAAAATCGGCATTTTAGTAGAAGTACCTTAACTCTAGTAAAGGAGACACAGTTAATGAAATACCAGTTGTATGTATTTTCCTGTCACATTCACTCTCTAACCCATCTACTTATCACCAAAAAAACACTCTCCTTATAAGAAAACATTCTCATACAATTTTCAAAGATCCATGGTGTCTAAATATATTTGACTAGGTATGAGATCATGGAGTTTGTGCAGGCATTTCTTTTTGGTAATTATACTCAAAAGAGCATTGGTGCAAATTTGTATAGATTGGCATCATAACATCATTAAAATTGAGTTTATTAAATGTGAAACATTTGAAATTTGGAAATGGTATATTGAATACTTTATGATGTGTCAAACATATTGTGATGTACCTTAATCAGAAATCTGTCGCGTAAAATTTGATGAATAGGCACCTTTAACATGTGATATGCGGTACTTTAAGAATTCTAATACAATTGGAGCTTTTAGTATGTCTTCTTACAAAAAAAATTATTTAGAGCCCGTTTGGCTTAGATGATTTGAAGTAGCCAATAAGCATCAAGTGTTGAAAAACACTTTTAAGTGCTGAAACTACTTTTATAAATAAGTAGTTACATGTTCGGATAAAAGTTCGGATAAATAAGCATCCGAAGTATTTGGTAAAAGAATGCCGATAAGCCCTTATTTTTGGTAAATTGACTCAAATGCCCTTATAGTTGTAAAGGCTTTTCAGCGAATAAAATTATGTTGTCTCAGCTTACTTTTATTCTAAATTAATTAGATAAAAATTATTTTAATCTAAATTTTTATTTTGATAAACTTACATATAATAGTTAATATTTCGCTAATAATAAGAAAGAACAAAATTATTTCAAGTAGACATAAAAAACTTGATTCCCACTTTCTTCTTGTTCTTGATATTCTTTCGTGTGTATGGCATTCACCTACTAATTTTTGAGTATTCTATGATTAATATTATCTTCTTTTGAACTTTTATTTAAATTAAAGAATTTATGTCTTACATAGTAGTTAATTGCATTTGTTTTCATTCTTGCAAAATTTTTGTTATCTCGTCTTAATTAGAATCTTCGAATTCTGCCAATATTGCAAAAATATCTTTTGGTTGTTTAGCACACTGTTTATTATTTAGTAATACACTGGTTAGGTAAAATAAATAATTAAGATGGTTTTGCATTGACAATATTTTTTTTCCAGAAGAACGAGATTTAACAGAATAAAGGGAGACCCTATTTAATTTGAAGGAGAATCTGGAAAATGTTATTAATGGTGAAGAGGTCTCGAAAGAAAGTGAAGAAGTGAATCATGGAGGGGGCGAGGTTTTGTTGTAGAAAGATATACTAAGAATTGCACAGTGTATTAGGATAAAATAGCAAAATTATTGGTCAAAGCAAAAGTGAAGTTAAAAAGCCATAAGCTGGGGGCAACTTGACCAACTTATGACTTATGGCTTATTTTGACTTGTAAGCACCTAGCTTATAAATACTTTTGGTGTTATCAAATGCGTAGATAAGACAAAAAATGCTTATAAGCCAGTTTGACCAGCTTATAAGCTTAAGCCAAAACACCCTCTTAGTTTGTTTGCTTTTCCTTTTAATATGAGTAGTAAGGCATAAAATAAGGGGTATATTCTCAATTCTTATTGATTTGTCATATTTTCCTGTATTAGGTTGATGTATTTCTTAGAAAATGGCAATAATGTGGATGGTTGAAGTTTGCTTTCCAGATTCTTTAGTGTCTCATATTCCAAAATGACCATGCCAGATTTGATATTTAGGGGATTCATGCTCTTGGTAAACCCAAAAAGTAATGCATGTCGGGTCATTGCAGACCTTTGTATCCCAGTTAAATTATATCTCTCAAGTATATAGTGCGTTCTCCTTAAATGGCTTAGCCTTTTTTTGTTGTTTCTTTTTTGGGGTTTCTTTCCTAGATCTAAAATGCTTCATCTAAATTTCTGTTAGGCAACTGCTAGTATGTGTTTCAAGTTTCCTTTGTGTAGCATGTTTTAAATTCATAAGCAATGGACTTCCACCATGCCTAATTTTAATACAACCTATATATCATGAGAGAGTTCTGTGCTTCCAAATGTGAACCCTTTTCATGCAGTGTGCCGCCTCTTATGCTAGATAAACTGCTAATTCAGTAACCAAGATAGCTTCCTTGGTTTATTCGGCATTTTTATCAACCTTGAAATGTGATTAGTTCACAGTGTGCAGAGTTGAAATCTCGGAGTCTGGTCTCTTTTGAACCTTTTAACCCTTTCTTCCTACTCCAGCTGGCAACCTCATTTAGCCAGTCATGATAATACAAATATTTATGCTCTGTTGATGATCATTAATTTACTCATATCCAGGCTTGGGTTAATTCAAGTTTTTCTTTGCATTGTAGCACAAACAGAAAATGCATCCATCTATGTATGATGATAATAGTGGGTCTGAGCGAGTAAGGTGCAGTCAAAGGGTCGTATCTGCAAAAGATTCTTCGAAAAAGACCCAGCTTTTATCAACAACATCACTATCAGCTTCTCATATCAATGAAACTCTGATTGATGGACCTACTGACTCTTCTGCCGAGTCAGGAGTTTGGTGGAACCGTCGCCGTAAGAAACTAGTATCGATTGGGTCAGAGTTTCAAGCGGATATTCCAGAATGGAAAAATGACATCTATGAATCTGACTCTAAATGGTTGGGCACCCGAATCTGGCCGCTGGATAAAAATGAACAGAACAGAATGTTACTAATCGAAAGAGATCCTGCTGGGAAAGGAAGGCAAGATACATGTGGCTGTGAATATCCAGGTTCTTTTGACTGCATCAGGTTTCACCTTTTTGAGAAAACAAGGAAGGTTAAATATGAGCTAGGATCCGCTTTTTATCACTGGAAATTTGCCTGCATTGGTGAAAAGGTTGCACTCTCTTGGACAGGAGAAGACCAACAGAAATTCCACGATATAGTGAAATTGAGCCCTTTGTCTGAGGATGAGAGTTTCAGTTTCTGGCCTGAACTTTTTAAGGTCTTTCCTCACAAAAGCAGGGAATCTTTGGTGAGCTACTATTTTAATGTCTTCCTTCTACGGCGAAGAGGTCAGCAGAATAGGATGAATGCAAGTGACATTGACAGTGATGATGATGAATCAGGGTGTGGACCTAGGTCTATTTGTTTTGGCCGGGATAAGTTCTCCATCTTGTGTTCCCCGAAGAAAGCACATCTAGATCCTAAATAGTAACCGAAGGTTGATCACCATTAATGGCCTTGTTCAGAAATGTAAATTTGGAGGAGTCTTGTTCTTTCTTTGTTTCAGTAATTTTATGGGTTGGTGGATATTGGGGGTTTAAGGGTGGTTTACGGATATCAATTTTTGATCTACATTTCTCAATGTACACAGTTTACACTCCCTGTAGAGTTAGCAGTGCTTGAATCAGAAAGAAACAAGACTGCTAGGAGCACACATTTTTCACCCCAACAGCAAAGTCTTTTGAGTTTATATATATACATGCTGCTCTTAATTAAAGTTACCATTTTGTTCTTTGTTTGATGAGATTCTCTTTTACCTATTATCTTGCTTTTATTTCTTTGTGAACCTCTGAAAGTGCTGAGGTTTTGAAATGGTCCTTTTATTCAAGATTAAGTGGAAAAGTGATGATTCAAATTGACAGTTTGCTCTTATTTTTTGGAAGAAAAGGTAAACTTTTTAGATAACCATTCCTTTTCCCAGTTTTTGTTGCAAAGAATATAATAAAAAATAAAGAATTTTGATGATTTCTAGTAGAGTTGATTTGGTTAGATCATGCCAGCAAAGCTAGTCTCTTTTATATTGTGAAGTCTCTGTCTTATGTTATTAGCCGAGAGTCTATCGGAAACAACCTCTTTGCCCTCCCAGGGTAGGCGTACACACTGCCTTTCCCAGACTTCACTTGTGGAAACTCACCGGATATTTTGTTGTTGTTCTATCTTCTGTTTGTTAAAACATCCCTTTATTGAAGCTTTTCTGGGGCGAGCTAAGAGATGAACATATAACAGCTTATGCAAATTGGAAATCTTGTGTTGTGACTACCATAGGGAGGGTCTTTACTCCTGATTTGTTATCCTATAATTCTGTGAAGCATATGCAGTAGAAATTTTATCCACTTCGAACAATCCACTAGCAAAACCATGTGCCAAAAAGTGTATATTTGTGCCAAACACAATTAATGGTTGCAGCAATATGCCAAATTGACACAATCTTTATAGCCCATTTTGGTTGCTGCAATTAAGTGACAGACATTTACTGAATGTATAGTTGTATTCAGATAAAATTGTGTTCCTGTTATTTCTCCTAATGTTGAGTTTTGCTAGGAAAGAGTGGTATTTAGGTTTTCAGTTTCCCTTATTTCTTCTTTTTGGGTAATATATGTGGTTTGAGATCACTATATGTTGTGAACGCACGAGAAATCTGTAAAATAATCATAGGTTACACATTGCCAAACTCCTCGATTCTACAAGGATCTCATGTGTTTTTGTAACACTCCTTAAATCTATAGAAGTTTAAACACTCGCTAAATAAAGAATTAAAAAGGAAAGAAAAAAAGAGAGGAGGGCCCATATAATGGCCGGAAACGTAGTCTTTAGGGCAAAAAGCTTGAAAGCCTTAATCAAAACACAAGTCTGAAGGCTGAAAAGTCTTATAGGAACAAAATAGAAGCTTAAACTCACGCAAGCCTCATACAAAAAAAAAGAGGAACAGAACGAGAAACAGAGGCAACAAGACGATTTACGCAGGCAACGAAAATCCTAGGATTCTTTACAAAGCACTAATTCTTGAACCTAAGTATATAAAAGTTCCTATTGTCAATTATCCTAAAGTAGTAGTAGGTAAGAATTTAATAGTTAATTCCCTTCTTCCTCTGTATCAACATTAAATTTCATGTTTAGGTGTAAAACTTTGAAATTAATTAAAATGCATTGGTTGTTGTAGAATCAATTGTTTGACGGGTATAAATTGGACTGGGGCCCACGTATTGGCTCAAGGAGTTTTGAGGTGAGTTGATATAATCCTTTACTAAAGTGGTTTAACTCACAAAAGCACGCATACAAAGTGTTTGATGAATTGCATAAAAGAGTTAATATATACTTAATTGGAGTAGTAAGTACCTATTAGCTTAGGATTATTTTCTAGCTAAAGTTTAGATGATTATTTTGATATATGTGCATAAATTTCAGATTTTTGTGTTATTCTTATATGCGTTTTCATGTTGAAAATTCATGAAGAATCAAGAATCTTTATAAATATTTTTGAATGTTTATTTCATTCTTATGTCATGCCTTACATTTAAGGATACTAGTATGAGTATGTATAAAAGATTTAGACTTGAAAAGTCACAAGAAGAAGTTTTAGAAAAAATAATAATTTGGGAGTATCCTTTATTCTGAGAAGGGGTCATCGTCCAGGACTAGGGTCCTAACAAAGGCGTTGACTTCCTGAAACTACTTGTGCCAAAGTAGGGAGCACACGAGCCGAGGGTCTCGTTGTTGAGAATTTACTTAGCCACGCTAAGGTATGATACATGAGCGCTGAGAACCATGAAGCGAGTGTCACCTCGTGGATTGGGCCTATTCGATCAGGTTGGGATCGAACTCGTGCCGATCACACGGTGACTCAGATAGAATTAAGTAGGGGATAGTTGGAATTCCCAAAGTATAAAGTGAAGTATTTTTTTATAAGAAAGAAAAAGAAAAGAATTTCTTTTAGAATATTCATAAACTGCTATTATGCAATTATTTAGAATTATTCTTATATGCTTTATGCTTTACATGCATTTAGAACCTTTGCTCGTAATGTATATGTTATTAAAGTTTCGCCCCCTGTTGTTGAGACTTACTGAGTACAATGGATGGTACTGATGTTCTCTTTTGGGAACCTACGTTGGTTTGCGGTACAACGTAGGAGCCGATTTTGCAGGCGAGCAGGCTACTGGTTAGGACTTTCTTCTCTTCCAGTGCTATTGGTGAGCTCTGCTTTTGTTCGTGGAGTATTCCTTAGAGTCATATTTATTTAGTTATTTCTTTGTTTACTTAGAGAACTGTTTAGGAAATCTCATGTCCTGAGCAGTGCGTCAGTTTATCAGTAGAGGCTTCATAGACATAGTCGTTAGGTTAAAATTCAGATGTTTTTGATAATAACTTAACAGTAATTTAGTAGTTACTATGAATAAAGTTTTGGAGTTGATTTATTTAAATATTTAAATTAATCAAAAGTATTGGGTTAGAGTATTACCTTGTTGCATATAAAGTTTGGAGTTATAATAGATTTGATAAGCAGAGATGGTTCGCTCGGTCTTGTTTAGTGATCGAGTGCCAGTCTCGACTTGTTCAGAAAATGGGTCGTGACAGTTTTATTGTCGATTTCCTACATTTTGACAGAAAAATCCCCTACGAAATGGATCATATACTAAAAGTAGGGGTGTGCATAGGTCGGGTTGGTTCAGATTTTGTAATTACCAAACCAAACCAATTGTGTCGGGTTATTAAATCTAACGACCAAACCAAACCAATAAAAATTCGGGTTTTTCAATCTCGGGTTTTCAGGTTATTCGGATTTTTTCATTTTTTTTCCTGGTAAAATCTTCGTAGCACAAAACATATAACTTGTGCTCAAAATATTTCTTTAATCCTAGTAAGATACAACTATATACAGTATTTTTCAAGAAAATAATACAAAATATGAGATTTGCTATGGTATTATCCTAAAATATTCAACAATATGGACAATAAAATTATGTAATATAAATATTGCTAATTAAAATGCCATAATCTAAAAATACTAAGTCATGCTAAAATAAATAGACTATTAAGGGAGTATTAATTACATGACTAAACGCTAAAGAAAAAATAAAAACAGGTTATGGATTTTTATCTAAATTATTGCAAAACAAAAAATAGATATTCAATATATTGTCATTCATATTATTGAATTGAATGTCTTTTATTAGCATTAATATTGATTTGATTGTGGTTTGGGCTTTTGTTAGCATTATTTAAGTTACTAATATTAATGGCTATAAAACTTATTGGAACATTCAAAAGTTCTAAGTTCAACCTTGAAATAATACCTTAAAAGATAAAATTGTGAAAAAGTTTAAAAAATATTTATAAATTACATCACAATAAGTATATTTATATATTAAATATATCTAAAATTTCTATTTATGTAATGTCGGGTTGGTTTGGTTTCAATTTGACTTTCTTTAGTTAAAAGCAAACCAAACCAATTATAGTTGGATTTTTTTTCTAACACTAAACTAAATCAAACTAAACTATAGTCGGGTTTTTTTTTTCGATTTGACTCGAATTATCGGGTTGATGCAGTTTGTAAATTTGCTTTGTACACTCCTAAGTAAAAGAACGCAAGCGATCACATAACCCCAAACTTAAAAGTATATTGAAAAGGCTAATAATGCAATATATGAAAAGAATGTAGAGGAAGGTGTGGGGGTTTCGAGGCTAATAATGCAATTCACACTTTGATCAAGACAAATATAATATCCCCTCACACTTTACTCCCAACCTTTTTTATTTTCCTTTCCATCAATCAAAAACAAAATGTCGCACCGCCTTCGACTTTTATTTTTATGAGTGGGTGTAGCTCGTGAATAGTGAAGAGAAATGAAAGGAAAGATGAGGTGAAATTACAACTATATTAAACTGCAAATTTTCTTTTCTCTTGCTTTCTACTCTATTTTAATGTTCATTTCATTTTATTATTATTATTTCTAATTTCTTCAAAACAATATACTAAAATTTATTATAACGGTATACATGACTCTTAGCTCATTTTTTAAGTAGGAAAGTGGATTTATAACCGTTTCTTACGATTCTAATCTTCACTCTTACTTTTTAAATTTATTATTTTGTTTTTAAACAACATTTTCTGCTTTCCTATAAAGGAGAAATTCAATAGGACTATAGGAGAGTGTTTTCAAAAATATATACGGGAAATAAACCCTTAAAGGTTCTATATATAAAATTTTGAATGAACGAGTTTTTCTTCTTCTTTCTATTCTTCTTTTTCTTTTGCTTTCCCTACTTTTATTACTTTTGCCCCCAATCAATTGAATGACCTTTCCATTGATTGGAACTTGGAAGTGAGAAAAGGAAATTATGGTTCACTTTAAATAAGTAACAAATGAAAGTAGACTAGCTTAATGCTTGATAATGTGTTACCTAATTGTATGTAATGGTTGCCACATAATACAATTTCCTAATTTACGAAGGAATCCCTACATGTCGACATTCCACAAAATAAAAATTAAGTAGTGAGGGTTTACACTTACTTCCAAGCAGGGCTGAGGTAGAAACTAAAGTACGGTTTCGACCGAATTTAATAATTTTTATTTAAATTTTATATTTGAATTAAGAATTCTATTACATATATACGAAAATTAAATTCGAAACTCGGTACTAGTACCTTATATCGTTATTCTAGAAATTTAAAATTCATAAAATTCAAATTGTGGCTCGGCCTCTACTTCTTAGGTAGGGGTGTACATAGGTCGGGTTGGTTCGGATTTTACAATTACCAAACCAAATCAATTGTGTCGGATTATTAAATCTAAAGACCAAACTAAACCAATAAAACTCGAGTTTTTTACTCTCGGTCTTTTTCGGATTTTCGGGTTATTCGGGTTTTTTTCCGGTAAAATCTTCGTAGAACAAAACATATAAATTGTGCTCAAAATATTTCTTTAATACTAGTAAGATACAACTACATAAAGTATTTTCCATGAAAATAATACAAAATATGAGATGTGTCATGGTATTATCCTAAAATATTCAACAACAAATACAATAAAATTATGTTATATAAATATTGCTAATTAAAAAGCCATAATAAAAACAAACATAATCTAAAAGTACTAAGTCATGCTAAAATAAGTAGACTAATAAGGGAGTATTAATTACATGACTAAACGCTAAAGAAAAAATAAAAATAGGTTATGCATTTTTATCTAAATTATTGCAAAACAAAAAATAGATATTCAATACATTCTGTTTCATAGTATTGAATTGAATGTCTTTTGTTAGCATTGTATTGATTTGATTTTGGTTTGGACTTTTGTTAGAATTATTTAATTTACTAATGTTAATGGCTATAAGACTTACTGGAACATTCAAAAATTCTAAGTTCAACCTTGAAATAATACCTTAAAAAATAAAATTATGAATTTTTTTAAGAAAATATTTATAAATTACATCACAATAAATATATTCATATATTAAATATATCTAAAAATTTTATATACGTAATGTCGGGTTGGTTTGGTTTCGGGTTGGTTTAGTTTCGGTTTGACTTTCTTTAGTTAAAACCAAA